GCCCCATGGGCTCGGTGGTGAAGTCGGAGCCCAGCTCGCCGCCACCGGCCATCGCCACACACTCGCAACGCGCGTGCCTCGGTGACCTGCGCGACATGATCAGTATGTACCTGCCCCCGGGCGGCGATGCGGCCGACACGTCGTCGCCCCTGCCCGGCGGCCGCCTGCACAGCGTACACCAGCACTACCAGGGCGCCGGGACTGCGGTCAACGGCACGGTGCCGCTGACCCACATCTGAGCGCACCGGCCGCCCGCTCGCGCGCACCGGCCGCCCGCCCGCCTGCACCGCCGCCGCCGCTGCTGCTGCCGCACGCCCCTGGGCGGCACGCCTACTTGTTTCTGCTTTGCTTGCCTGGGGCAGTTGCCTTGTACTCTGTCAAGGAAGAAGGAAAGTTTGGCTATAGCTGTCGAGGTTTGGTACAAACGCCAAGAAGTCCTGGACAGTGGCCTCGCAGCTTTGGAGAACTTGCGCGCCCTGCCGCGCCCCCCTCTTCTCCTTGGTGGGCTGCGATCCTATGATGTTTGTTAAGAAGTGGCAGCCCCCTCCTCCCCACGCCTCCTGGGGTCCGGGTCCTTCTGTTGCATTTGAAAATGTCTCCTTAGTTTGCTGTTAGCAGAGGAGTGAGTGAGCTGGACAGAGGGAACTGCTGGGCCAGGCCCGGGCCAGAACGCACCACCCCGGTGGCCTGCAGGCCAGTAGGACCCCCCCTGAGTTCGACCCCGTGAGGCGCGGGGCGCCGAAGGCCCCTGTTAATTTATAGCCAGGTGTTCCTGTGTCCCTCACCTTGCTTTCCTGACTGCCCGCTTATGTCCAGTCTGCTTTTAGGCCGTTGAATTGGTGATGTTGCTGTGATTTATTTGCTGTTTCGTCGCACCAGAAGTGACTGTGTTTGAGAGTTTCGTTTGGGTAGTGGGGAGGGGGCTATTTTGTGTCTGGTTTCTAAAGGTTTTACTCTGAATTCCTAAATAAGAGATCAATAAATTTTATAACCAACGTGCTGGAGTCCTGCTAATTTCATGACCCTGGGACTAGGCGCGGGGGGTGGGGCAGTATTCGCTACTATAAAGCCAGGTTGGACTGGGTCCCAAGAGGTGAGGGCCATCAGATTAATGTTGTCTTCCTTTTCAACTCGTGGTTGAACACATCAGCTGCCACGCTTCTGAACGGAAAGGAGAAAGAGAGTGGCCCCGATGAATCTAGGGAGGGTGCCCACTTGTTGATCCCGAGAAGGGAGGGTGGCAGGACCCCCAGGAACGGCCCTAAAAGGGGTCCCTGCACCTCTGTGCACTGGGGTGGGACGACACTGGAGTGGAGCTAAAGTTTTGACAAAATGAAAACTCTTGGGAAAGTCTCAGAGGTCCCATTGAAAACGGTGCCAGCACCCCAGTCAGAAAGAAATTCCTTGCCACCTCAGTGTCTGGAGCAGTGGGGTCAGTGACCCTGGAAACCTCTTTGGTTGGAAGGGGGGGGAGGGAAAGTCTGTCTTAGATTGCCAAAGATCAAGTCTCCCTCAATGCCACGATTGCTGTTTTTGAAAATTTATCAACCCAGCCCATTGACTTCCGTGTGTTTTCTAACACCTAGAGTCCCCGCTTTCCTGCCCTGGTACCACCACAGACCCCAGTCCCTGACTCCGAGCGTGCCCCGCCTCCTCGGGCCAGTCCTCTCCCGCCCAGTCCTAACTATGAGGCCTATGAAGAGAACAAATAGAAGCCGAGTGTTCGCACACAGCCCGGCACCCAACTCCAGTCTCCCTGGTTTGAGGAGCCTCGGTGGCACAGTCATTAAAGCGTTTTGTTCCTAGCGGAAAGATGGCAGATGGGAACCGGAGGAAGAGACGATGCTCTGCTTCCATCCATTAGGACCTGGGAACCCCCAACTCCATCCTACATCCTATGAGGGTCCCAATACGTTCCTATTGACTGGACCACAGTGGACCAGCTTTGGTCAGCTGTTTGGGGTGATTTCCATAATCTCATTAATCCTGTAACCTCCTCGCTAGCCCAGTGTACCTAAACTCGGCCTTTCCAATAAGCTTGGCCTGGTGCAGGGTTTTGATCCTTTACCCACCCCTGATCCTGTGTGGCAGATTCCCCCCTAAACTGGCCGGGTCCCACATTCACATTGCCTGTGCCTCTCCTTGTGCAGGTCAGCCTTCCACCTGCACGCCTGGGTCGGGCGTGGTGTGTCAGGCTCCGGAGCCCTGGAAAGTCAGGTCTCTCTGGGAAGACATCGCCTCTCTAACCCAGCCTGGGGGCAGGGAGGAAGGGGCGAGGATGATTTAAAGACCCTGGGGCTCCTCACCCTGCCGCTGTCCACCCACACAAGGTTAGTGCCAACTGGGAAACAGAGACTGATGTGTCAAAGGGCACCCTCTTAGGGAGCTCACAGCCTGCTCCCTCCCTCCCATGACGAGTTGGATATACCTCATCCCGTTTCCAAATTGCCACTAGGAAGGACAAAGGAGTCCTTCTGTACACTTCTGTACTTCTGTACACTTGGCGGATCCATGCCCAGATGAAAGTTGTTGTTACTTTGTGGGAATTGGGGTCTCAAAACTACAGCATAGTGGTGAGAAATGAGCCAACGGGCAGCGCAGCTTGCAGCGAGAGCCACGGCGCCCCCCGCCTCACACTTCTACCAGGACAAGGGCATCTTAAGCTGTTTTCTAGATCTGGGCTTAGGGATGGTTGAATTAGAAATGAGGGTTCTGCTGCTTAAACAACAACAATGACAAACTCTGGTCCCACCCCTGACTCCTCCGCCTCTCTGGCCGTGTTTTACATATGAGAAATCGCCTGGAAAGGTTAGAAATGTCCCACGTTGCCTGGCTAGATCCAGGAGGCTCTAATTGAACCCGGCTAGGCTATCGGCTCTGCCCATAAAGGAAGAGAGTGGCAGGGCACCTCCCGTCCCCAGCTGCCTTCCAAAGTTTAGAATCTGGAGACAAGAGGGAAGTCTGGACCCCAGTAGCGTGACCAGTGGTGAAATGATCTGGGAAGCAGCAGAGGGTCTTGGAGATGTCCCCCATGGAAGCAGAGCTGCCCTTTGATGATATTTAAACCCAGCAGAGCTTTATTTTACTCTCGCCCTCTCTGCCCTTCTCAACAACTTAGCTCATCAATTCCCCCTTTGAGAAAGTCATGGGGGCAAGAGAGTGCTTTCCAAATGCAGGCACAGGTTTAGAAAGAAAGATGTTCATCATATCCTCCCTTGCAATGGTAAAAGGTTGCAAGCAACCCACGTGGCCAACCCACGGGGAAAACACGAAGTAGAATACATTGGGGGGGGATAGACGGTTTTGCAGATGTTAGAATTATGCTGGCAGAGATGTTCTAATGCTAAACCACAAAGAGCTGGAGAATGCACAGAACTACATGCAATATATGTATATGGAGATAAAGAGATATATTTTCAGTAAATGAAGGTTTCAGAACAAGTAGGTAAGTCAGTAATAATAGACTGAAAAATGCAGGCTACGACTTTGAATTCTGGTTAGTCTTCCTTACATTTCCCTAGGCTTTCTTTCTCTAATAGGATAGTATTCCTGTATCAAGTGAGAAGGCAGATTTCAAATCTATTCTCTTCCAATCACCAGTATAGAAAGGTGTTTTCTTGGGAAGAAGGGAGAAGTTGCAATCTTTGCTGTGTTGGGGCTAGGAGGGGGCAGGGTGCCCCAGGAGCCATAATCCCCTAGCTTTTCTCCTGGCTGGGGCCTGCAGTTAACACAAGCGGGACCAACACCAGAGCCACCCCCTGCCATGTCCCCTCCTCAGTAAGCAGGAGCTGGATCAGATTAGTGAACGGCTGGGTCATTCTTCAGACCCACTCACTGGAGAAAAAGACCTCCTTCAGAGCCAAGCTGAACAGCCAGGGCTGCAGGGAGCAGGGGCCACTGAGAAACCAGGAGGAAGCCCAGAAATGAAGGGGCTCCGCAACCCTCTCCGCCTTCTTTGGAGGGGGACAGAGAGCAAGCCAGATTGGGCCCCAAGCCAGGCACTTCCAAGGGTGATGGGCACCAGAAGAGTGCACTTTGCACCCACCAGCTGAATGGAGCACAATAAACATGTCCCTCCTCCCTGTTGCCACCATCATTTCTGGCTAGATTCTGCCTGCATCCACTCTGCCTCTCCTCAGGCCATCCTGTCCTCCCCAGCAAGCGTCCATTCCACTTTGCAAACAGAAAACCAATGATTATCACTTTCCTTTTTTCATACTTCCTGGTGACTTACTTCCTTTTGACAGCTCTTTGAAAAATATCCCAACTCTCCCAAAGTCAGACCCAGCTCCTCCTCCCCCCATCTCTGGGTTCCACTTCTTTGCACTTTTCCTTCTCCCTCCCACAGGCCCAGCCAGGATTCCCTGGAGAGATGTTTGTGGAATTAATAAAAACATGGTCCTCCAGAAACAAAACATAATAAACTTTCAAGTCCAGTAAGTGTCTTAAGTAATTATTATCATGCAGAGTGCATGTTTTAATTTTGCATCTGGGGGATTTTCCCAAAACCTACACATCAAGTGCAACTTTCCTAACATTGAAAATAAATCTAGTTGCAAAATAAAGAAACTCTGGTGGTCTACTGGGTAAGGAGTTGTACTGCCAACCCAAAGGAAGGCTGCTCAAGTCCACCAGCTCTTTCTTGCAAGAAAGATGGGCAATTGCCTCAAAATGAAGCTTAAGAAAAGGAAAACAAGTCCACAAAAACCAAAATAAGACCCTGAGTATATATATCCTTCCAGAATTTTTTTCATTTATATTTTATTATTTTTGTGTGCGTGTACCGTCAAATCAGATCTGACTGGTATAGGAGGAGATTGCCCCTCCTTCCCCGGCAGAGCATCTGGTGGATTCCAACCGTGCACCTCTGGGATTGTAGTTGCAGCTTCTTGCCACTAGGCCACCAGAGCTCCCCCATCCTTCCAGAATTTAAAAACCATCTTAAGAATATACTAGCTATACTGAACACTAATGATTGAAGAACAGATGACATCAAGGTTATCATCCAGGAAGAAAGCAAAAGGTCACTACAAAGACCAAATCGGGTGTCAGAAGAGATTCTGAAAATTGCACTAGAACATCTTGAAGCCAAAACAAAGGGGGAGGGAATGGAAAAGTAAAAGAGTTGAACACAAGATTTCAAAGGGAAGCTCAAAGAGAAGACAAAGCAAAATATCATGAAGTTATGTGCAAAGAGCTGGAGCAAGGAAAACAAAAAGGGAAGAACTCACTAGGCATT